TATTAACGGCTTTGTCCCCGCGCAAAAAAAAAATGAATTATATTGCATTAATTTGGAAATTTTTCAAACAAAACTTGTTTCCGTTTTTAATAACATTTAAATATGAATTATTTTGAAAAAGTACAGTCCATTCGAAAAGTTTTCAAAATGCCAAAATGTGGGGCCATGAAAAAAATCTCGACGACATTCAAATGTTTTTTGATTTGGTTTAAATGACCAAAACAATCGCAATTAGAGGAGGTACGGTGATATAACATCGTTTTGAAGAAAAATTCACCTTTTTTTTAAGCTGAATTTGATCTCTATATCCCAATTTGTCCTATTTTTGAACACTGTATAGTAAATCAAATTTAGATGCTGCAGACGATCTTGCATTAAAGTATGGAACAAGTTTTGTTTCAAAACTATTTCGATTAAAGTAACAGTTTGGACACAATGAGTATATTACGTACTTTTTGGGCCACCCTGTATATGTTTGATTTCCTACATAGTAAAAATGCCTGGTAAATGGGTAAGGGGTTAGAGGAGGGAGATACACACGCAGGGGCGGCCTTAGTCATTGGAAAGTTCCGGGCGGGTAAACTTTTGCGAGGCCCTCGTCTTTGTGGAATTAATTTTAATGATGATACTTTAAAGATGCAAAGCGATTCGTAAATAAGTTTGCAGTTTTAAAATTGTTTATCGAAAATTAAAAAAAAAATGATAAAGACAAAGATAGCAAATTTGCGGCTTCTTTTAAGACTATTAAGAAATTCAAATACATTAGTAGTATCTACTATTACTACCTAATATTTTTCCAATTAGATTGTTGCGCTATGCGCGAGGCCCCTTCAAAGGCGAGGCCCCGGGGGGTTGCCCTGTTCGCCACCCCCAAAGGCCGCCCCTGCCACGTGTTCCTGGGCTGTAGCCTAAAAAGCTCATATATAGATCGGGCTCTGGCATTCAGGTGTTGTATCGATATCATCAAATGTTTCACCATATGACATATTGAATGTGTTTTACTTACCAAGCGATGATTAGTTGTGACGAGCTGGTTTGGGATGATGTGATGTTTTGTTTTTGTTTCCACTGTGTCGTGACGTTCGTCTTCTCATCGGGCGGACGTGGGAAGATACGACCGGAACGATGGAGAACTCACGGAGGGAATTGTTGGATTTGAGGATGATACGTGGCGGATCGTTAACTAGATGGAGAATCTACGTGATGAATTTCAATTGAATTTGTTTCGCAAAACTCGCTCTACTGAATGATCTTTATACTAAATGACGCCGGTGATTCGACTTGAAACTAGGTCGCAATTGTTTTAATTGTTTCTATTTTTTGAATTGTCCAAAGGAATGTAGATATAAATAAGCCATAAGTTTTCTATTACTTTTTTTTGGGGTTTGTTTTAAGTCAAAGATACTTTCATGTAAATCTATCTGTTATTAATATTCGTAATTAATGTAACTGTAAATTCAATTACCTAACTTACCACTAAACGATTTTCTCATTAAAAAGTTTTTTTATTTTCTATTTTTTCATTTCTTGTGTCTCATGTGCCTTTCGTTCCTGTCATTTGTTTTAATGTATTTTCTGTCCTACGATTTCCATTCATTATTTTATAGCGTTTCATTTGAATTTTATTTGATGATGAGCAAGTGATCCTGGTTATAGTCTTGCAAAAATTCAAGGCCAACACCAAGATTGTCTTTATGCTAGTCAAGACCGAACGAACAAGACCAAAAACAAAGCCAAGACCGAACGAACGAGACTAAGACCAAAACCAAGACCGAACGAACAAAACTAAATGAAAAATGGTTACTACCGGTGGATTTATGAGTTAAACTATTTGAAGCAACTTTAATATGAATCAAATAATTCGAAGTGGTCTGTATTCTGTCGAAACTGCCAGACGCGGATCGCGATTTCGATCTTTTTGGATCTCATCAGCGCGTCGCAGGCAGCTCCGACAGAACACAGACCAACTTTTACCTGCTGTCTTAACAGTGCGTTTCAGAAAATACTACAAACGGCACAGTGAACGCCATTTGTAGCATTTAACTTTAATATGTTCTTTTCTTCGAACAAAGCATTTTTAGTATTTGAAATTTTTGATTTACTTTACTAGATTTTAACACTAAATATAAAAAAAAATGGGATCTACAAGAATGTCTTCGTACTAAGTGTTCTTTTTTCCTATATCTGAATAACACATGGTTGAAATATAGAGACAAACAAATTTTTTTTTTTTTTCGATATTTTTGACTTCTTACCTTGCACTATTTGGTTCTCTGAAAGGTCAATTTATCCGTTGAAAGTAGGGTCAATTCATGCATTAGAGGAAAAATAAGTTCTCGAGTTTTCATAACTCTCACAACTATCAACACTATTTTCTTTAAGAGTCAGAACAAGCTCGCATGTAAGACTAAAAATTTCAGCATTTAAGACTGGAACAGCCTTGGTCTTGATCTAGCTTTGCTCATTACTAATTTTATTACAATATTAACCCACTATAACTAAATGTATTCAATAATATTGCTTCTAATCAAAGATTTCTTTTGCAGTTAAACAATTTCATGAATTTACAATACACGTGATGATGATTTTGTAACTTCTAAAGTGGGTGAGTGAATTTTTCTACTTTAATTTTTTAGGTTTTGTGAATATCCTCAATACTCTATTAATGCTTATTTTAAACAGAAAATTGATTATTAATGCTTTTTAGTTAGTAGAAGTATTGCATTTGCTATCGAAATTTAATTTGGTAAAAATCAAATATACTGCAGTATTGAGATTTCCTTATTATAACTGTTTTGTGACCAGTTGCTGAACTGATGATGTCCTGATTCGTAACTATAGGTCGTCGTCGGTTGTAGTTGCTTCCTAACGTTTCACTAACACCAGTCGCGAGATTCTTCAAAGGTCCTTCCATATCCGATACTGATATGGACTGAGGAATCCACCTTAAAAAGTAATTCCAACCGACTCGAATCAAGACATCGGTGAATTTGTTTAACCAAAAAACTACGCCCAAATTTGATTAAAATAATAATAATATACAAACAGAAATATATAAAATGCATAAAAATAATGGTGGATGCGCCTGGCGTTCTAAATCTCCGTGCTTTGAACTAATTGAACTGAACATGAGCAACTTTACAAAGTACCCAAAATGGGTGCAGAGTGCCCAAGCAGCATGCATCATCATCATAAAGTCGTCAGTCCTAAGACTGGTTGAACACACACCTCCACTCTTTCCTATCCTCAGCTAATCTTCGCAATCCCCCAAAACTAGAATCCTAGATAACTAAAATCAGCCACTTTTTTTAATCTTTCGTCTCCTATCTTTACATTAACTCTTTCCCTACTTTTTCTTCCTTGCATACCAGTATTTTTGTTTTACTTTTACTTATTTTCATACAATACTGTTTTGTCAATACCGCTTCCATTTTATTTAAAGCTATCTCTAACTTCTCCTTGCTAGATGCTAATACTGCTATATCATTTGCAAATCTAAGCATACTAATCTTTTGACCCTGTGTATCTATCCCTACAGTTTTGCTGTCTTTAATGATGTTGTTCACGTCTTCGATGTATAGATTAGCAGATTACGGTGACAGTGTGCATCCCTTTCTAATATTTACTTCTCTACATTGCAGCTCCAGCTCTATAACTGCCTGTTGCTCTTTATGCATGGGGTTAATAAAAAAAATCAAAGCAACAGCAATTAAAGAAAAAAGTAAAACTACAATTCATAAAACATTTTGTACAGAGAGTTCACACTGTAGTCAAGAATTAATAAAATTAAACAATAGGTACAATTGTAANATTATTATTATTGAATGTCATAAAAGCATGTTAACATTCAAGTTGTAGCGCCAAAGCAGCTGAATGAACTATGCAAATCGGATCCATAAACTTTATACTCCGTTGGGGTTTTGAGCTATTCTGTTTGTTCTATAACAATACGATATCTAGCGCTCGGCTATGCGGTCCTTAGTTTTTTCAGCATATAATATTTGTTGCATGAATTGCACTCTAATTTATAAATTCCTAATTAATACAGATAAATTATGGGATAGATTAGGCATTAATTACACGTATAAAATATTTGTACATTTTTAAAATATCTGCCGTTGAAAAAGATGCACCTATGTACGTATATGTATAACAGTAAAACATAATGATTGTGATTATCGCTTTTGGAATGATAAAGGTGAATTGCGGTTACACGTCCTGCATTTTATTATAATTAAAAGAGTGCATTTAGATTACGGTAAATACATAATACATGTCCCTTACTTTTTTTAGTTTCTGGAAAGCGGTTATCATATGTTTTTGGTGGTGAATAAATATTTAAACGTTACGAAATAAACACTCCAAACAGGAAACAGAGTTGTTTGAGAACGTGGTTTTAGGTTAAATTAACTCCTATCATTCCCAATTCCCAGCCAATTCCGATTGTACGATTATATTAGTATGTATCGAAGGAAATAGGGTAACCACAATTTATCAGCCAATAATACATGTGAAATTTACATTAGTTTAAATAATATCTGTGCAAGTCCCTTCACATTTCGGTTGACCCACAGTACGATTTTCCTGAACCCGATATCGTGCTATTCTAGAAATGATCAAAATTGATCTTTGTCTTACAAGACTGGCTCCAAATTAGCAATACTAAGGTCAAGACCGATCGAACAAAACCAAGACCAAATATGTAAGACCAAGATTAGAAAAACGCAGGACTAAAGGAACAATTATAACCTCCAGTGGATTTATGAGTTAAGCTATTTGAAGCAACTTTAATATCTTCTTAATCTTACTGTACACTAATTCTTTTGACATGATAATATTTATGCATGGGAACTCCAAAATGTATGTATTTAAAGTTGCAATATATTATACGTACTGTGGGATGTTTTATAAATAAAAAAAGAAAACTCTGTTCTCAAAATTGTCATATTATATCACTAAACATCCATTTTAATTTCGGGTTTTAGCTTCTGATTATATTTTACCATTCACTTTAAACCCATGTAAGATACTCTCTTGGGCCATGAATCATATCATGATGGCGCGAAACCTTTAGCGTTTTATTTATTTGTGATAGTGTACTAGTGAAAAGAATAATACGATTTATAAGTGACGAAATCCCGTATGTATGGAGGGGCTTTATTCGCCCTTACCCTTAGTCGATTGTTGAGACGAAGACCCTCAAGGCATCGCCGATTGCTCGTACCATAACAATAATAATACACCCCTGGCATCGGTCTTCGATACGTGAATGAAACGAACGCGTATGTTCAGGGTCGGATTTACGTTGAATTGCACCCTAAACTCATTATTTAATAATGTATTAAATCAATTAGATTTCCGAGTTTTTTGCGACAAAGGTTCGTACTTAATATAGAGACAAGGAACGTGACATCTTCGTTTTACTAAATTATTTGCTGTTTAAATTATTTGTTAAGAGGTAATAATAAAGGAAGCAGCAAGGATAGCGAAGACAAGAAGGACCCGACTAATTGCAATTAGAGAAAGTATTAATTTTTAGTCGCCTCGCAGTGTTTTGTGTCCTAGACCGTGGAGATCAACCCTTAATCCGTCACTGCGTATGCATGTGTTCTGTTGGAAGCATTACGTTCGATTGCACCACCATCATGCAAAGTTTATTGAATTTCGTTGTATTCACCGTCCATAATGTACAAGTCGTCTCTAAAAGGGAGAAAGTAAAAAGTGACTTCTGCACAATATAAATATACTTGAAGAAAGATTTGTCCTTTTGTTGGTTGTTTGATAGAAATACGTCTAAAATTTTGAACGAATGACAAAGCCTTCTAATAAATTGGTGTAGAAAAATGTGAACCACAATATTGTGTAGGTATCTACGTTGTTCAGTTTTCAAAAAAGATATCAAATTGTTGTTCTTATCTTTACCTAATGGGATTGGGACTTGAGTATAAATTTGATTTCTCTCTGTTTCAATGGAATATACCAAATCAACTGGTAAAATTTGTAGAGTGGTCGTTTAAGGATAGACAAAAGATTGTTTTTACAAAATAATGATAGACAAAAGATTGTTTTTACAAAAAATGTGTCTCATACTTAACCCTTCAAGTAAGCAATCAAAATTATACTTACTAATTCTCCAGAAGTAAAAACCCCAAATAATACAGTAAAGATTAAGATATTTGGTTTTAGGGTTTTACGACAAAAGATAAACAGGTAGATAGTAGATATTAATGCAATTATTTCTAAAGTGACTTACACTAATGCAGATTTATTAAATAAACTTAATGATTGTTTCAGCAAACTTAGACTAATCAGAACTTTGCATTGAACTTAAAATTATAGGCCATACAATTACTTTTCCAATAAATTATCTGTCAAAATGAATCTTCTATCTTGTTTTCATTTGGGACTGTAGTCATCTGCTGCGTTTGTACAGGCACTTGGATTATGCCAATTTTGATTTTTTTTTAATTTTTTTTTTTTCGTGGAAGAGGGGAAATCTTCAAATGACACCCAGACATCCGTACGATTGGGTAGTGTCGGATTCCCGAGGAAAGTGTCCTCGAACCTACCGACTAAAGCCTCTCTATCTCAGGCTGTTATAGGGCCTATCAATTCAGGTCCTCTTCGGCCCCCGATATATATACCATTTGTACTGGTAAGGATAGGGNCGATAACCTAACCTAACCTACCCTATTGATAAAGATATTTAAATAATGTTTTATATAACTTTCTCTGTATTTTTCATTAATTTTACCTTTGAATATTGTTTAAGAATGACTAGACAAATATTTACATGCCTAGAAATGTATAAAAATTTATTAACTTTGGGGGTGAGACCGCCACGAACTTTTTATGGTACAGTGGTGGGGGAGACCTCCTCTTTCGCTCCCCCCCACCTTCACCCCCGAAGGTCGTGGGTTTATAAGCTATCCAATTAAGTTTATTATGCACTAATGGTTTTATTTGAGGAATTTTAAGGTATGAATTAGTATATTTATAAATTTTTATAGCATTTAGTTGCCGATTTTACTAGATATTGAAAGCTCGGCGGGACTACCTCGCGTGAGTTAAGGCCTAGCGCTCACTACGATATTCTGTCGCCGCGACTGTCGCAGAGAATGTAAATGACACACGAACTCGCGACCAAACAATCGCAATTTTCAGATGAGCGTCACAAAAAAACGTAATTTCGGATATATTTTTTTCTGTATTCAAAACGTTATATGACGTTTCTTCTTCTTTTGCATCAAAGGATTCGTAATCTGACATGTTTAACAACCAAAAGCATTAATTAACTACAATCAGAACAACGGACGATCACCGTGAAGTTCATTGTTGTCTATTGTTGATTATTTAGTCGCATTTGCATTTACTAGTCTGCCCTTCATTTTCGCGACTAAATAACCGCGCGACAAAAAATGGCAGTGCGCAACAGACCTAAAAGTGTACGTCGCGTTTTCGTTTGTAGCGTATCAAAAAATCGTAAATGTCTTTTTATCTTGTCATGCAATACATTAAATGGGGAATAACATGCATATCTGAGACCGAATAACTGTATTATTATTATTATTGAATGTCATAAAAGCATGTTAACATTCAAGTTGT